TTGTGAAGTCATGAACACTGACCTTACCTGAAGCAAGAGAAGACTGCAGTTCTTGCTTCATGACTTCCTGCATTATTTAATAATGCGCCCTTGGAGAAATTTTGGAAGGCCAGCCATTCCTGGGAAAATTCACTACTGTTCCAACGAACTTTCCATTTGGAGATTATGGGTCTCACTGTGGTTCAGTAGAGTCCCAGAGCCTTAGAAATAGATTTGCAACCTTTTCCAGACTAATAGATAACAACAGCTTTTTTTCTGATCTCTTCATAATGTGCTTGTTGAATCTCTATGCTGGCAACTTAACTTTGATAGTAAGGGTGAAAATACAGTAAGTAATACAGTTTACTTTATCAACTAAAGGCTTTATAGCAAAAGCTACATGTGATATTTGAAAAGGATTTGACGGTCTTTCATACACAACAGCCTTATGGGGTGACTGGGCGAGTGCAGACATTTACACCTATCTTGGCCATTGAACTCTAAACCTTCAAAGCTGGTGCTCCCCTCACTGTCCCCAATTTTCTCCACTCAAACTGCTCAGTTTGGAGGGACAGCTTGATGTATGTAGTGTCTAGATGTGGCAGTGGGTGATGAATGTACTTTCCATTCCTTACTGATTAAGTAGACTATGCTCACAGAGATATTCAAACACTTTTGATATTTTTGTATACTTCTTGCTTTGAAGGCTCCTTTGTCTTCATGGTTGAATCCTTGCTTGGTTTAGGTTTGCCACAGCAAAGTACCTGAATACTTATGAAAATGTGATTTTTTCAATTTTTCTTTCATATTGTTCAGATATTTACTTTTTGTTTATTTACTTTTTAAAATGTGTTCAGCAGGTTGTATGTATGACAAATATCAATTGCAACTTCAAAGTGTCCTTTAATGCAACCTTAAAGGCAAGGGCCTAAATAATTCTGCAAGACACTGTAAACAACATTCTTTAAAGTCAAAACTATATTGTACAATATTATGGAGTTATTTATAACCATTTTATGGGACCTCTTGGTGTGAACCCAAAAAGAAAGTACAGGCAATCTCTCTGTTATACATCTTTTATAGGGATCAGAATATCACGACAGACAGCAAAACGAGGTATAATGGGGAATTGTTCCCATAAGAATAGTGTAAAAACAAAGTGTTTGGGACTGCAAAAGCTTAACTTTTGCAAATGCTACTTTAAACTAATGGTTTTACCCATAAGAATTAATGTAATAGAGTCGGGTTAGTTTGTCGTTTATCACTGTTTCAGGTGTATTGTTTTCAACACACTGTACATACATTTAAGACTACCATTTTAACCTTCAGGTGGGTAACTGCGTTAGCATGCGTAGGCTGCAAAGGAACAAGTAATAGGTTTATTCCATGCTGAAAAAAAAGAAGAAAGAGAACACAACGTTTCGGCCATGGAGCCTTCTTCAGGTGTCATACCTGAAGAAGGCTCCACGGCCGAAACGTTGTGTTCTCTTTCTTCTTTTTTTCAGCATGGAATAAACCTATTACTTGTACCAATGAAACCTTGCTACATTGACTAGATCAGTGACTTTTTACATTTTCAGAACAAAACAATCCCCAAACCACCCAAGTTGCTGGCTTTTGGTGCCCTGAAAATTGCTAGGGATTGTTTAATTGTTTACTTCACGGTCCAATTCATCAACCAAGCAAGTGCAAAATGACATAGTGGGGCAGCTTAAAACACTGAAATGATGAGGTCTAAGCAATTTCAAGGTGCCAAAAATGTCAATTTTTACTTTCTAACAAAAATGTAAAAATCTCTACAGAATTCCACAACTAGTCATTTTGTGACTTTTAAGGCCCTTGGCACCATGATTATGCATAGATTATACATAGGAACATGCATGAGGATTTTGAAGAGGCTACTAATAAAAAGACTTAAGACTTTTCCATGAGAAGATGCAAAATATGCTGACACAGCATTTACATTCTCTAGACCAGGGGTAGGCAAACTAACGCCTGCTGAACTTTTCTGAGTGGCCTGCAGCTCACTACTGTTTGAATCTCGAGGGTTACTTTCTGCATCAGAAATTGAAAATCTTCCACCAGTGGCCTCTACTTGTTAGCTTTGCAGCTCCCTCAGCACTAACGGTCAACTGCAGAACAACACCTATTGCACGATGCATATACTTTTAGTCTATCAGACATCAGCTTTAGCCTAGGTCACATACGCCTATGCTGCAACTGATTCTTACTGTAAATTCATTTGGATTTTTGTTGCCTACTGTGATTGGCTTAGTCACACAAATGATGTCTACTGTTTGCTATCTTGTTTGAAAGCAGGTAATTATTTCAAACGGTTCTAAAAATTATAACTGACAAGAGGTCAGTCATGTCCCTGCCATGTAAAAAAAAAAGAAAGATAGATGCAGAGGGTCAAAAATTCAACAACAAATACTCAGAAGAGTACTTTTGTGTCCATAGAAACCAAAGGTAATGTGTCTTATCTATCAGGAAACAATCACATTGATTAAAGAATACAACATAAAAGGGCACTACGAGACAAAACATCAGGCTAAATTTTTGGAATACACAGGAGATGGATGGAGACAAAAATTAGAACAGTTGAAACTGTTCAAGAGAAAATGTGAAGAAAATCTTGCGGCTACCCGAGCTAGTTATCGAGTATCACAGCTTCTAGCAGCAGCTGGCAAACCCTTTCCAGATGGTATTTTTCTTAGGAAGTGTATACAAGAGGTCACGGAGGAGATGTGCCTGGAGAAGCGCGACATATTCCAGTCGGTGAGTTTATCGGCTAGTTAGAGGATTTCACTCAGATCGCCTGGCAAGCTTAGTAAACATTTTTTAGATTTTGGCACCTTGAAATTGCTTAGAGCTCATCATTTACATTTTTAAGTTGCCTGACTAAGTCACTGACCACCTAATCTGCGTAACCTTCTTGTTCACAGCTCCCTTGACCGACTCAGCAACTATCAACACCAGGCACTTTCCCTTGCAACAGAGCTCACTGTATCACCTGCAAGTACACCACACTCATTCAAGGCCCCTCAGGATAATTCCAGATCACTCAAATGACATCTTGTACCTCCAGCAACCTTATTTACTGTATCTCTTGCAGTAAATGCAAGAAGGAAACAAGAATGAGACTCGCAGACCGTTTCAGAGAACATGTTATGGCTGTGAAGATTAAAGATTTCTCTAAGCCTGTTGTTTCTAATTTCACCTCCAATGGACATGATCACACTAATCTCTCTGCCTGTGTTCTCAAAGATGGTTTTCCTAACTACTACATCAGAAAGACTACAGAAACTAAAATTATCCTGCAGCTAGGATCACACCTTCCCCCTTCTCTCAACAACAATCATTTTTTTCTAAACTCTCTCTATTCCTATTCGTTGTTGGTTTCATTTCACACCTTTCTTCACCTATCCTGACTTCACACTACCTGATTGGCCACTTTGTCTGTCCCCTGATCCCACCTACCGCTCTTCTCTCTCCCAGCTTTTGTTCTCCTGCTACATTACCTTTGCTTACTGCCCTGTCTTTCTCACACCTGAAGAAGGCTCCAACACCAAAACGTTGTGTTTTCTTTCTTCTCTTTTCAGAATGGAATAAACCTACTACTTGTTCCTTTGCAGCCTACACATGCTGACGCAGCTACCCACCTGAACTACTTCAACATTTTTTAGTTTTCCTTGCTCTATAAAGTTTGCCGACCCCTGTTCTAGACAATGTGGGGAAGCAAAAAAAGGCAAACAAAATTCTAGGATATAATGAAGGAATGTTATAAATTATATAAAAGCTAACAAACTGCTTGTCTTTTAGCTTCCTAACTGCTTATAACCCTGGTAATTGGAAACATACCAAGGGGCATCTATAGGTCAGTGGAAAAGTACAGCTCATGTCTTAAAAGTAGGAAAAAGGGAAGTCGAATGTCTTGTTTTGCGAATGTAAGCAAGTAATTTTCGTTACGAAAGTCTCAATCTCTCTCTCATCCTAGCATTAATCCCTCATTAGCAGGGTCTGCTTGTTGGCACCCCCGTCTCCATTTGGTGGTTTGAACCAAATCTTTGAGCTGACGTTGCCATTAAATGCGACCAAGAATACTCCAACCGGCGCGTCGCTCCACCTGCCGTTGGAGTAGTAACGAAAGTCTCAATAAGGACTTGTATTTCTCTACCCGAGTTTGACTAAAAACTAATGGTTCATTTTAGGGATTAGGTAATCCATGTTAACATTGTGTACAGTTTTGTTCAGCACATTATAGAAAAAACAAAGCTGCTCTGGGTTCAGTCCAGAGAAGAGCAACCAGATACACATTCTGGGGCTAAAGGTACTGCCCTGCACTGACCGGCTGAATGAATTGAATCCTTTAGTATTCAACAGAAAAGATTAAAAGTGACTAGTTACAAGTATTGAAAATCCTCAAAGGCACTTAAAAAAATGAAACCAGTTGATTTCTTCAAAATGAATAGTAAGCCACAAACCAGAGGGCAGAGTTGTAAACTACATGTAAGTGAATTTAAAACTGTGACACCTCTTTACCCAAATGGTTTTAGGAATAAGGAAAAAGCTACCCAGCCATGTAAAAGCCAATACCCTGTTTTTTTAAATAAAAGCCTAGATGAGCCCTGTGTCAATTAACCACTAACTCCCAAACAGACTTGATGAGCCAACTAGCATCCTCTTATTTTTAACATTTCTTATGTTCACAGAGAGTTTGACTATGAGAATGAAAAAAAAAATCTTTATTCAACAGAAAAGCTCATTTTTAAGCTTTTTCATATTTGATTAATGTCAAAACGTTACAATTTATGACAATTTATAAACCTACCATCTACTATGTAGATTATTTTACTTATATTATAAAATATATTTAAACACATACATTAAATTATTAACATATTTGTATAAGACCTTAGGCTATGTATTAAAATTTCAACTGTCCTTTTCCCATGTAAAGAAAACCTGAAGCACATGAAAAAGTTCAATAAGTAAACTTGTAAAGCATATTAAAAACTCACTTCACAGCTGCATGTGTCTTCACAGAAAATTGTCTCTGTGGAAACTGTAGAACTCTGGTGAACCTCTGACCACAAGTAGTGGGCAGGTGTCTCTGACATCCACTTAAGACTGTATAAAACAAGACAAACAGACAGACTGCAGTCACAGCCATACAAAACTAAGAAAAAACATACAAAAGATTTAGTTGAAAGCATGTAATTAAAAAACCTCAACAAAATTTAAGTAGGATTTCAAAAATATAACTCTTTACTGAGTCTAATCTGCTTAATCCCATCGATGTACTTCAATTTCTGGGTCCGACAACTGCTCGACAGATGTATACCGTTTTGCAACAATATAACCATTCTATCTGCAATTAAGCGTTTAGACATTTAGCCTTTCCGCTACCCTAAAACGTTCTACCAGTGGATTAAAATGTGTAGGCAACTTTGTGTCAAGTAACGCAAATGATTTACAAATAATTTTACTTATTTTGAACTGACCTTTCCCTGCGATCCTCGCGTATGATGCCATGTTCATGTATGTGGAGTTACATTCAAAAACGGTCGTGTGAAATTGTGAAAGCGATTTTCAGTTCCTAACAGGCTTTCTAGGTGGTACACGTAACCCAGTCTGTCAATCAATGATAGCTCACAGTTGCTACATCGGCTACAGAAAATACATCTCCCATAAACCCACTAGTCAGACATCCTGACGGCGTCTACGAAGTCCTAAATCGCCTAAGAAGCGTGGAGTTAGATACATTAAGCGACGCGAATAATCCGGAAGTGTATGTAAAAAGCCAAACTTCAATCAAAATAAAAGTCCTTCAGCTTCCACAGTAGCGTATGAGGACTATAGCAACATTAAGCCAAGTGACGAGCAGCTGAAATACCTGCTTTGTTATTTCTTCGTGATTCACCGTAATTCCTTGAACATTCTGCCAAAATTTTAGAGAACCTCCTATTCCCAGACTGGGACCATGCAGTGATGGACAAGGAGTGGTCTCACAAGCAAAATTTGTGCCTCTTCAAAAATGCCTTAAATCTATTCTACAGACCCACAGCTAATAGAAAATCACTGTGGTTTTCTACACAGCATGGTTTTATTACACAGAAAAGTGTCTTTGCCAATGTTGCTGGGGTTTATAGGAACATTTCATGTTCACAGCCTGGGACCGTGCATTGATGAACTCTGTAAAAAGCAGCGTAGTGAAAAGTGTCAAAGATACAATGTCGGCATGTATATCTTCAGTGTCATGGTTACTTTCATGGGATTAGAAGGCCTGTCTGCACATATTTATGACACCTGCATTATTTTGGGTAGTAGATACAATAACTTACTTGTTGCACAGTCTATTTCTAATCTGAAAAGTCGAGTGTCACAACTAAACACTAGTGGTGTCCCCGCCGTTACAGCTGCCGAGGACTCATATGTTGATTTTGAAAGCATAGAGAATGTTAATTCTCCATTTCTTGAACATTTTCAAAAAATACATATTAAGGCAAAGGCAGATATAAATGTGAAGAAGAACAAAGGGCCAAATGCCTATTTTGATTAGAAATTGTTAGAAATTATTTTTCTTACAGTATTTCTTGTCATCTATCCCAATATGGACCGACATACTAATGTTGTAACAGATTACAGTAATATCAAAACACTGACCAAAAGTACATTGACAGGACTAAATCTTTTTCTGAGGTGAACTTCAAAAATACTAAACATCTGTTTCTTAACAATGAATGTGTGGAAAAGTTAGGAACTCTTTACAAAGCACATGAAGGGAATTCTGTGATAAAATAAGACTGAATCTGTCTAGAATAAGTAGGTTTCCTGCCCTTGTGGAAGAGGAGGAATAAAACAGGAAAAAGAAAATTCCACAACAGCTCAGGTGTTCATTCCAAAACCCCCCATCGAGACAATCTAAAATTTTTAGTCTAAATGATACAGTAAATGCAAAATCGATGTCCAATCCAAATGATCACTACAAGCCACTTATCAATAGGTTCTCAGAAATGGGTCAGATTGGCAATCATGATTGGGTCATTAAAATATGTAGATCTGAGAACGCCCTACACAACTACTGGTTTAATTCTGTCATGCAGTGTGTCATTAATATGAATGCAATACAGACCGAAATTAATCTGGAATTCTATTCTGATGGTCTTAAAATTATGCCTGGCAGTTTACTTAATTTGGTTAAAACTGCCATCAATAGTCCTGGCCCCTATTTTTCAATGTCCCAGATAGAACCAGTGTTAGATGGGATTTGCAATGCGATTCCTTCTCTAGATTTCAGGAGAGAGAATGATCCAGCTGACTTAATAATTCCCCTTACGTCCTGGCTTGTTTGCAGTCAAGTAAACAGTAACTTCATTACTGTGCATGTATACTTTTGCCAGGACTGTGGTTCCTTGCATGCCGAAACACGTGAAGTCACTCCTTTTTTGGTTGGACAAATAGGTGAGTTTCCAATGAGTCTATCAACCCTCATGCACAATTCTTTGATAGACAACACAGTCACACAGAATTGTGTCATAACACAGCTAACACATAGCATGGATGAAACAAATGTTGTGTTTTTTTCCTAGAAAAGTCATCAGACAAAGACATATGTTGGTCTAACCATGTACCCACACTTGAGAATGCCAAGTTGAAACACAACTCTTGAAACACAAAAAACCTGGAGCCACTGAACAGTTACATATCGACTCTACTGCATAGTACAGCAGCACTGAAAGAGTCTTTGAATAGCTTGCAATCCCTGACAAAGAAACAGACAGCATTACCTGCAACAATACACATGACCTTCAAGGCCCTTCTGGAATCTAAAGCTATTCAGATTTCCAAAATACCTGTGAATGCTGAACCAGCTAAAATTGACATAGAAACAACCATTGGAGAATTTGTCATGAAACAATTTCCATCCAAAATTTTGGGACATCACTATCTCTCAGTTCAGACCATGAATACGTCCAGCTGCAAAAATTGCCAGGGATTTCAGATTTCACAAAATGAGTACCAGAACATTTCTAAACTACACCTACCTACAGGAAGATATCATCAAGGAGTCACTAAGAATGTCTTCCCAAAATAAATAAAAAAATATTACAATGCTTTACATGCAAAACACCTATTTTGGAACACCACCCATACATTACACATCTACCTACCACTTTGATTATCATGTTATAATCCTCTCTGTCTAGTAAATGAATGTCCCACCATCTCCTCCATTATCAAATAGCAAATATACACAACTTCAGGTATGCATGGTCCGATTCTGGGCACAAGAAGTGGTCTTATAAACCCCAGTAACATTAGCAAAGACGATTATGTGAGAAAACCATAGTTATTTTTTATTAGCTGAGGGTCTGTAGAGTAGATTTGAAGTATTTTTGGAGAGGCACAAATGTTTGTATGTGAGACCACTCCCTGTCCATCACTGCACGGTCCCAGTCTGGGAACAAGAAGTGGTCTATAAACCCCAGCAACATTTGCAAAGATGCTTATCTGACAAAACTAGGGTGATTTTCTATTATCGGGTGTTCTGTAGAATAAACTTGAACTACTTTAGGAGTGGCACAATTTTTTTTTTGTCAGGAATGAGACTTTTTCGTGTCTAGCAGTGCACCTGTGCCAATTTGCAAGGAGGAAGCGATATATAAAAACACCAAAAGATTGCAAGAAAGAAAATTAATGAAGAACGGCAATTTCCTATTACCTGTGGGTCTCTTTGTTACATTCCACCTAGTTTTGAGGATGTACAAATTGTTGCTGTGCTATAAATGTGATTTTATCTGGTCTTAGGGTTCACTTTTATTTTGAAAGGTGCTGCCAAACCAGCGTCGCTTAATCTAGCTAGCATCATGCTACTGCTTCACGCTACTGATTGGATTTGGGCTGTCGCCGTTATTTTGTTAGTATAAGCGATGCTGCTCTAAGTGTGCTGCACTGACTGGGCCCTCGTATGATTAGCGAATCAGAAGCTGAATGCTTGCGTTATCTGGTAAGCTTCCGCTAGTGCTACCTTAAAATAAAAGTTTTCTGATAGATTCGTCATTGTAGGATAAAATTACATTAGTCTCGCTAGCACAGGTTCCTAATGTTGATATAATGAAATGTAAAATAATCAGTAAATGCTGGGAAAAGCTAATTTTGAATTGGGAAGTATTTCTTATAATTATTATTATACCACTCAGAACTTACTGTAATTTTTTAAGCTTCTTCGAGGTTCAGTTAGGGCCTGTCATTTTTTTTCAGATTGTGATCTCAACAGGTGTTACATCTCAACGGCTACAGGTGACACAGGTTATCAGGAGTTTCTTGATTTTTTTAAGAATAGAGGTCTCGAGGAAGCTATCTCCAAATTAGAAAATGACAAGGTAACATTAAGGAGGACTTTTTCATTCTGTGCACAGTACACAGGCAACGAGTGTGTATAAGACAGAATTCAATAATCTTACAAGTGATTGAACCTTTTTAATAGCTATAAAAATTCAGTTATTATTACTATCAAGTTTAGTAATGAAGTTTAGGTTTAGTCTCCTAAAAATATCTTAGCTGTCTTTAACTTCTTATTTCTTTGTTCTTTATCTTAGATTTGACCAGAATGTAATCTGACTAATGGATGATGAGACATAATTTTCCCCTGTTTGGTGACCAATTATCTATTGTTGACTTCTGCAAAAGACAGGCATCTCAGTCTCAGGAGAAATCCAGAAAAGAAAACGTTTTGCATACTGTACACTGCATATGAAATTGGGGATAAAATCCAAACACCACAAAACACATTCAGATGAAGAGGATGAAGACTCCAACATAAAGGCAAAGTACATGTGGCAATCTGGAAACAGAACTGCAACAAAATCTTTACGCAAAAATTGAAATAGGGTGGCTTGATAAAAACAGTGACACTGAAACCCTGAAACAAGTGTGTACGAAAACGGGGGGCAAGAAGATATTCTGTTTCCAAAGACAGTATGAAGACAGAGATTTTGAAGACTGGTAGGGAAATATTTTTTCCTAATGTAAAAACAGCTCATGGAGGATGAATTGGAACATGGAGGATGTGAGGATGAATTATTTTTTTATTTTCAACAGAATCCTCTTAATGAAGGAGAAACTGTTGCATAAGTAATGAACGAACAAAACTTCCCATGTTGAGGGTGAAAAATCATCAGATTCAGAAGATACAGTGGTGTGAAAAAGTGTTTGCCCCCTTCCTGATTTCTTATTTTTTTGCATGTTTGTCACACTGAAATGTTTCAGATTATCAAACAAATTGAAATATTAGACAAAGATAACACAAGTAAACACAAAATGCAGTTTTTAAATGAAGGTTTTTATTATTAAAAAAAAATCCAAACCTACACGGCCCTGTGTGAAAAAGTGATTGCCCCCCCTATTAAAACATAAACCAACTGTGGTTTATCACATCTTTGGAAAGCTGAGTTCAATTTCTCTAGCCACACCCAGGCCTGATTACTGCCAAACCTGTTCTCAATCAAAAAATCACTTAAATAGGACCTGCCTGACAAAGAGAAGTAGACCAAAAGATCCTAAAAAGCTAGACATCATGCTGTGATCCAAAGAAATTCAGGAACAAATGAGAAACTGAGTAATTGAGATTTATCAGTCTGGAAAAGGTTATAAAGCCATTTCTAAAGCTTTGGGACCATTATCCACAAATGGTGAAAACAAGGAACAGTGGTGAACCTTCCCAGGAGTGGCTGGCCG